TCCCATGCTGATGTTATTTTGGCCATCGAAGGATCTGAACACATGGGAAGTCTCGATTCTCATTTGAAGCAAAATCATCGCTGTGCTTCATCGCCAGTTATTTATTCATTCCAGTTCGCGATTCATATCTGAATGACAACATAGGCGATCTACTTTAATATTCGCCTAAAGCGGCAATAATTCAGAACTTGCTCAAGCGGTCACCCCAATGTCTAAGAATGAACGCAGCCTGCCGTGCAACTTCATAGTCGTAGACGCAAACATATCGTTTTGCTTGAATGGGTGATGTTCTGGGCGCCATTTCGCTCCTCGTCGCGCAGTGCTAACAATAGAGGGTTGACCAGGCGAGCCGGTGAACCTCTGCCGGGTCGATCGGCGGCTGAATGGACGGGCAGTGCAAATACTGGCAGCTCCTACGTACGGTAAACCCAGGCGCCCCCGAAAATGCGCGGCAGCCTGTCATGCCAGTCGAAAAAAAGGTTCGTTTCTCTTCGGGACGATAAAGACCCTGGCCTGAGATTATCCCAACTGTTACTCCACGTCTGACTTTGCGTCTTGTAGCAGGATTGCAAGAGCCCGTTGGGTTCACACGACCATAATTCGACTTCGATAGCGATGTTCTGTAAGCGATGCGCAGCTGTCTCTTTAACCGATCTACCATAGAACAAGTCTGGCATTGCTATCATCGAAGGCAAGTAGCTCCGATTCCGGAGTCTCAGACAGAACCCAGGCTTCGCATTCATATTTCAATTACCCACGTCTACGCACACCTAAATTAGCAGATGCCCTGGACCGTCGGTTCTTCACGCCGAACGCTGAGAGTTGAAAGTTCCGCCGGCGTGAGCTGCGCGGTCTTGTCATCGGCTTTGCGGCTGTGAGACCCGGGTTATCCTGCTGAATAGCGCGCGCTTCGACGGGTCCAAACAACCTTGTGGCCGAAAGATATCACCAGGACAACGGCAGACACTGACGGTCACTGGCTTCCACGGGTCCCGACATCCGCTGTAGCCAGGGTATACGACAAGGACAACGGCAGACACTGACAGTCAATGGCTTCGGCATTATTGACACAGAGAGCAACGTCCAAGCACTTCAAGCGTCGACTGAACACAGGTGTAAGAATGCCTGGTTGCCAGCACTTTTGGTGATTATCAATACATGGCGGGACGATCTCGGCCACGACCTCCACGCGTCCACCACAGCCTGCCCCTCCCCACCATGATTCACACGCGGCCTCCCCAGTCCCTCTGCATCCACCACAGCCTTCTCTTTGTGTCGATCACAGCCTCCGTATGTTGACTGTGGTCTCCTGGTGTCCACCACCCCCCCCCCCCCCCCCCCACCCCCACCAATCACAGCTTCCCCGTGCTCACCATGTTCTCCTGTGCCCGCTGAGGTTTGCAATGCTGGCCGCGTTTCTCCCCATGCTGACCATGATCTCCCGTGCCCTCAACAGCTCTCTTCATGTCCCCATGGTCGTCCCGCGCTCACCACCGACTCTCCATGCCGACCGAGGTCTTTCCTCTCCGCCCGCCGGCCGGCGCAGATGATTTCAGATTAGCATTCGTCTTCCGGCATGCACAAATGGGCTGCGCCGCCAAACTGGTGGTCATGCCACTATCAGGCACGGCGTGAGCTCTTGCAGACCAGCATCGGTTCATTGACACCACCCGGCGCCTTCGAGGGTCTAGGTGGCGCCACAGACGGCGGGAGGCTGCGAGATGAACTGGCCGATGGCAGCGACATCTAGCACGAGGGTGCCTAGGCTCAGCGACGCCTGGCGGCGGGGAAGAAAAGTTGTTTATGGTCGGTAGTGGCTGGAAGTCTTGTATTCTGAACTTGTATACCACAACAAGAATGCGAATGTGTTGTGAATTTGGTATGCTGTAGGTGCAGACAGAACGGAAATAGCCATTTGACATTCTTCATTAACGCGCAGAATGAGATGGGTTTCACATTTGGACGATTCCTGGCGCTAAACACCGTGCATTGGTGTGAGCGTTGCCGGCGGCAGAACAGACGCGGACGGCCAGAACCCTGTCAGTGGCTGTCAGGCAGTGGCCTAGGTCATCCCAGGTATGAGAAAACGACGTCATACCTCAGCCGTATATACCTTAGTTATGCTATACCTTAGTTATATCTAGCCGGTCTGCCTCTTCGCAAAAATGATCTGTGAATTTGTCCTCGGTGATCGGGCCGGTGAGGATGCTCCCAAATGTGGGGTGAGGGGACAGCATAGTCCAGCAGTTTTTCCTCCAACCTAGGGCAGAGCTATAAAACAACGCTTCTCATAATGGTATCCATAGGATCAGACGGAGCGAAGTTGGACTCTATCAGTTCAAGTTTAAACCTGCGCGGCGTACCGTCCAAAGTAAGCTTGCCAATATTTCCCGAAATTAGTTTTCAAGTAGTACACCACTACGCTTTGTCAGTGCAAGAGATGCATAACAGTCTGCGATCATGACTGGATGTAAAGTTATAGATGCAGAACATCCCAGTCGCTGATCAGCCCTGGGACTGGGACCTGGGACCAGCCCTGGGACCGCGAGAAGTTGCTCGCCTCTGGAAAGTCAACAGAGCTACTGAGGCAATGACGGCTATGCGCATCTGCTACGCTACAACCGCAGATGTGTCAACGCCACCGATAAGACCATGTACCAGGCCGACGACAGCCTATATCGGTGACATGACTTGACCTGACCCGAGGAAATAACTGATTTCCAAGAAGTGCGCATCAGCCGCATTGCCTACGGGGCGGACCTCCGGCACTTAGAGCACAGCTAACTGCTTACCGGAGCGCAGCAGAAAAACTGTCTTCGGACTCCAGAGTATTTACAGACTCAATGCCAGGAGTTCGGGGGTCAGATGCCTGACTGAAATCCTCCGCTTTCCTGCTTTTTCGCTTCACTCTTTTCTCCGCTCTAGACTGATTGGGTCCCTCTATGTCCAGAACTAACGGTAAACATCGCGGGTCGCTGTTAATAGTTGACTTCCAGACAGTCGGACAGGAAATCAGATTAATGCGCACAACCATGGAGGGCAGTACTAACAAACCGTCGCAGTAATTTCTGGCCCAATTCTTTCCTGAACATGAGACGTGAGGACGGTTTAGCTTGGCTACCCTTAGCCTAGTTCACCAGATTCACTAGCTCACCACTTTTTGTTATAAATGCCTCACAACAGCTCATGGTGTTGCTTGAAATCATTCGGATCGAATCATTCCTTGGTCCATCACATGCGGGACATTCATGCACTTGTTTACCTGTTTTTCGACGGCGTCTCTCGAAAAGCGCGAAAGACGAAGAAAGGATCCCAAGCCGGAGCCGCACCTCCCCGAGCCGCGCAAAGGACCCCAAGCCGGAGCCGCAGCTCCCCGAGCCGAGGAAGGGGTCCCAAGCCGGAGTCGCACCTCCCCGAGCCGGGGAAAGGACCCCAACCCGGAGTCACACCTCCCCGAGCCGAGGAAGGGATCCCAAGCCGGAGTCGCACCTCCCCGAGCCGAGGAAGGGATTCCAAGCCGGAGTCGCACCTCCCCGAGCCGAGGAAGGGATCCCAAGCCGGAGCCGCACCTCCCCGAGCCAAGGAAGGGATCCCAAGCCGGAGTCGCACCTCCCCGAGCCGAGGAAGGGATCCCAAGCCGGAGTCGCACCTCCCCGAGCCGAGGAAGGGATCCCAAGCCGGAGTCGCACCTCTCCGAGCCGAGGAAGGGATTCCAAGCCGGAGCCGCACCTCCCCGAGCCGAGGAAGGGATCCCAAGCCGGAGCCGCACCTCCCCAAGCCGAGGAAGGGATCCTAAGCACCTCCCCAAGCCGAGGAAGGGATTCCAAGCCGGAGCCGCATCTCCCCGAGCCAAGGAAGTGATCCCAAGCCGGAGCCGCACCTCCCCGAGCCGAGGAAGTGATCCCAAGCCGGAGTCGCACCTTCCCGAGCCGAGGAAGGGATTCCAAGCCGGAGTCGCACCTCCCCGAGCCGAGGAAGTGATCCCAAGCCGGAGTCGCACCTCCCCGAGCCGAGGAAGGGATCCCAAGCCGGAGCCACACCTCCCCGAGCCGAGCAAAAGATCCCAAGCCAGAGCCGCACCTCCCCGAGCCGAGGAAGGGATTCCAAGCCGGAGCCGCACCTCCCCGAGCCCGGCCGTCCACCAGGCAAACCACCGAGACACCGTCCACCAGGCGGGGACGAGTCATTTCCCTCGCTCCGCACGGCCGTGGCCGTTCTGCGGTTTGGCGATCGCTCTGTTCGCTGTAAAAACCGCTGCTGTGAGTCGGAGGCCGACAGAAAACACCTGCTCGTGTGCAGGGATCCACAGCCTGCCAGTCCCAGATACTGCACTTCCTATCGTCGGCGGAATATGACCATTATTGTGGACGCGCCCTGAAAGTGCAATAAACAGCAAAACCGCTTGCTACCGGACCGCTATGCCGGGGGTGTGGGGGGGGGGGGGAGGGAGGGAGAATAACCGGATTGGACCTTGCGACAAAGGCCCTGGGAGTCGACTGTGACGGTGATAAATGCACTGCAGCTCGGGTAATGAGTAGTTTGATCTCGCTCATGTTCGCCCGTCTCGGGTGGACCAATGCGAATGAGATATCGCCATATATAGCTGCGCTACTCGTCTGTTGCAGTTTAGCTGTGTCGGCGGCACGTAACCATCTAGATGTGGTTTTGGGCCACGACCTTTGGTTTAATTCTTACTGTCTTTGGCCCTGTGTGATGTAAGTGCATCTTTGGTGCCCTATTCAGTTAAGTAGCACGGTGTTCCAGTGGAGTTAGTCGCGTAGTTGGTCTGGCGTAGTTGGGCTGGCGTATGAGCTGCGTCGGCGGACCGCCGTCGCTCCGCCACGTCGCTGGCCGGGACCCACCGCCGTTTCCATGCCCGGGCGCGGCACCGGCCGCCGCCACGTGTTCCACCGCCCTGCTGTTGTGGCGACCGGCCTGAAGGTATCGACCGACGCCTGCCGGCACTGATCAGTGACGCGTCCACACCGCCGGCGGCCGCAGCGGCCCAACCCGCGACTCGCGACCGCTGACCTGTGACCCGCAACCGGTGACCCGTGACCGGGCCAGATGGCGCCTCACTCGGGCCTGCGGCAGCGGCGCCGCTCCTGCGGCGTACAGTACCAGCCGCTGGACTGGGACGGCTCGCTGCCGTACGGTGGCAAGGTGTACCTGGCGCGCCGCAAAAAGGCCGACTCCTGGCTCTGCCTCGTGCTGCAGGTGAGGGCGGACGGCCGGCGCCGGCCCGACTCCGAGCTCCAGATGAGCGAGCGTGCGGCCAACATGCGTGAGGGTAGAGAACGGTTGCGGACACTGCGGTGGCAAAGCGCTGTGCCTTTGCCACCCTTCCAGGGGAACTGATGCCTGATTGCATGCCTGTGTCATGGAGTGGGAATGACGCCAGGAGTCAACCTCATGCAAAGCACTCGAGCTGATTACCGCTACCTTGTTGTATATCAAGCAATACCAAGAATGTGAACCGAGCTGCAAATTATGTATTTCCCAAAGTGTCGTTGGTGCCTTGTTGACATGCTCTAACATGATCTGAGAGAACATTTTGGCAAAAATAGCTCGGCTAGCTCCTGAGCAGAAATTGAACATAAGACAAAGAATGCAACACTGAAATGATGCTGGCGCGATTCACGGGCGTCACATTTTTGGAATCATCGCATCGCTCATAACTGTTGGAAGATAATCGTTTGAGTAAAGACTAGGGCACTCGTGCACAAAGTTACGGAACACCTTAAAGCCACATCTGCCGCAGGTACGAAAGTACATTATTCACGTGTCATCTGTTATTTATTATTCACGTGTCATCCACGTGCATGGCTAAGCAGCTGACTTGTTCACTTTGGACGCTTGCTGCCGATGTGAGTCTCGGAATCCTAAAGCTGCACGTGGCACTGGAGGGGCCGCGCGTTCCCTTCGGTTGGCTAGAGCTTGTCCCTGACCCCCCCCCCCCCTCCCCCCGCCGTCACCCTGCCGCAGGTGTTGGCGGTGGCTGCCAGCGTCGCGCTCACCTACTGGTGTTACTACTACTTCGACCACTTTCACTTCCACGTGTCGAGGGCGTACGCGCACCTGGGCCACACAGAGGCCCAGCACGTGCTGGGCCAGCGCTACCTGCACGGTCAGTCCAGCGACCTGCCGTGTCACGTGGCGTGCGGTGTACGTGGGACGAGACGTGACGTGTGACGTGCTTTGGACGTGCCGTGTGATGCAGGCGGGACGTAATTTAGTGTACGCGTGAAGCGATGCGTGACGTTAATTATGGCGTGGCCTGCGATGTAACATGGGATGTACTTATGACTTGACCTGTGGCGTGACGAGCGGTGTACGTGTGGCGTGACTTTTGACGTTATGCATGAATAACGTGGCTTACTGTCGGTCATAAGCTTCTGTGGTCACCTCCTTAGCACGTGGCACATCACAGCGGGCTTACCCGGCCCTGAGGGCAGCACTGACGGCATGAGCCGGTACTAACAGTCTGTCTGCAGCTTTAAGGCGAGCATCTGCTGGTAGGGTTGAACATCTGCACGGACGTGTGACGAGCGTCCGTACCGTCGGCAGGCCGCGGAGTAGAAAAGGATCACGAGCAGGCCATGGCCTGGTTCCGCAAGGCGGCTGACGATGGCCACCCGCACGCCTCCTACAACCTGGCCGTGGGCCACCTGCAGGGCCTGACCGACGTCCTCGAGCCCGGGTAAGCCATTTCCGGAGTCAGGAAAGTACAGCCCCGCTTGCTCATGCCATTGTGCAGTGTCGTGAAATACACTTTTCTTTATCGCCGTTGGTAAACCTTTGTTCGGAATTATGAACGACGTGACATTAACCGCCCTAGTAAATCTCTTCCGGAACCTTAAGAACGACGAACACTAGTCAGCAGATTGGCTGCCTGAGGGCAACGAATCGGTGGTGATTGACTCAGGCTCTACATTTTCTAACCAGTTCAATGATGGGGACTCGATTCATTTCCCATCTTCTGTTCGCTTAGTCCGGTTCGTAGTCGCTTAGTTTAGTTTAGTTGATTCAATATCATGCAGGACATAGCTGCGCCGACCTTGGTGTGGGAGGCAGGCAAAGCAGTCAATGTGCCATAGACTGGGATCCCGAGGGCGACAAATTGCCGTCCGGCTAACGACGGTAAGTGGGTCCGCAGATCAGCTGACCGCTGCCAATGTGATACCCTCTGGCTCCGCACGGTTGCCTCGCGCGTCTGCCACCGCTCCCACCGCGCCATGTCCGACCGTGTCGACCCCGGCTGGACAGGGAAGCGCAGAAGATGATCAAGCATGCAGCGGACAACGGCGTGGAGGAGGCGATTGACATGATGCGGAGCTCGTGCGTCTGGGGCGACTGCGAAGATGACTGACCGCCGACTGTGACGTCACGCGTCCGGGTCGACCGTGCTGGACGACCGCCGACCCGGTCCTTGTCCGGTTCGGCCAGCCGTCACCTGGCCAGGCTGGACCGTCGTCTGGTCAGGTCAGGTCATCCTTCTGTCAGGTCAGGTCATCCTTCTGTCAGGCCGTGTCATTTCTCTGTCAGGCCGGGTCATCCTTCTGTCAAGTCATGTCAGCCCTGCCAGGCCAAGTCATCCTTCTGTCAGGCTAGCTCATTCTTCTGTCAGGTCAGGTCACTCTTCTGTCAGCTCGGGTCATTCCTCTGTCAGGCCAGGTCATTCCTCTGTCAGGCCGGGTCGTCCTTCTCTCAGGCCAGGTCATCCTTCTGTCATGCCTGGTCATCCATCTGTCAGACTGGGTCATCGTCTGGATAACAGGGGGCGATGTCGAGCGCAGCAGCTCCGAGTAAAGCTGTCCCCGAGATCAAGTGCCCTTTTCTTGTTGCAATTTGTCAGAGCAGAATCCAACCCCGTGAATGCATTCTGACATCAGCTGTTGGACGGGTTGCCTACGTGGAGATGCAGTTAGGTGGGAAATGCATGGCGGCCGACGGGCCGGCCCGTGTGATCTTCGACGGTCCGTCTGATTGTGCGGTGCGGTGTGATCCCTGTGTGACTACGTCATGGAGTCATTAATACCTCTGAAGTGGCCGTCGGGTGACATGGTGATAACATCGGTTTTCATCAGCTCTTAGCAGAATGTGATAGTGTTCGGTTAAGCTGCTGTAGCACCAAGCAGTGCCCGTTATAATACCCAGCGGTGGCCAGCGCTCGGCGTTAAAGTGCTCAGCGCTGCGGTGTTATAATACACTTCCCAAAGTAATGCGTCACATTCAGATTCACCGAAGCGCCGAACCGAGCCCATTATAATGCGAAGTCGTGGCCATTGTGGCGAAGCACCGCATCGTGCCGCTGCAGTACCCGATACATACCGCTTCAGCACCCGATACGTACCGCTTCAGCACCCGATACGTACCGCTTCAGCACCCGATACGTACCGCTTCAGCACCCGATACGCACCCGGTGCAGTGACCAGCTGAGGGCGGCGCTGCAACGCCGTGAGAGTACTCCGACATCGCTGCTCGCGACTGTCGTCACGTTCGGCTGCGGACTACCGCGCCAATCGTGACGCTCTGTTGACTGGTCGCCCCTGGACCCACCGGACTCTGCAGTCGAGCCCTGTCCGGTTGATGGTCCCACTGGCTACATGGATCAAGCCTGTCCCGGCGGTATAGCCGAGAGCCACAGCGCGGTGTGGAGCCCGCCTGCCGATTGCGTGTTGCCTTGCCGATAAAAATCGACCGACGCCACATTGCGTGACCTCGACGAAGAGTGATGCGGGTCCACATCGACCGTCTGCTGCGCTTTGAACGGAGGGAGTTGTCTCTCTCGGGGGGGGGGGGGGGGGGGGCACTACTTAATTGACAAGGCTGTGTTGCAAGCGTTCGGCGTCAACTCAACACAATTAAACACACTTCTCGAAAAACTTATTTTCGGTATTTTTTAAAATCATTTTGCAAACGCCTCGATAAAAGCTTTTTCATTCAACACAAGTCGTCCTGCATTGCTTCGAATGGCTTACATCACACTTATTGAAGACTAAGGTATATTTGGTTGGTCAATGGTTGCGACTTCCTTCAACGTAGAGCGCAAATACCAGTTTCTTATCGGCCGTTCTGGGCACCGGGTTGCCGACGTGGCTACGTTCGCCCCTAACATTGCACCAAGTCCATCTCCGGAACGGCCTCCCTTCTCGCCCAAGCTTTCCGTAATCGACGGACGGCAGAGTGACATGCGTTGACCGTCACTTGTTGTGTGGCCCCTGAGGCTACTCCTCAAATGGCGCTGATCGGGGAAATCCTCGGAAATCCTTGTCGCGGCCTGAGCGACAGTTTTGCGGCGGGGCTGTCACGCCACACAGCTCAATGACGGGTACAGCCAAGGTGAACGTGTGCCCCTCTTTTCAGAGAAATAAAATCGCCTTTGACGGACGAGGCTCAAGAACGCATTTAGGGCTCCGTGCACCACTTGTGAGATCGATGCTCTTCCCTCGAAGTACAGGAGGATTATCCCTACAGCAAGATTGTCATGTGATCCTCACACCAGCGAGAGAGCATTGATATTGCATTGCATGTGGCTGCAGAGCGCGGACACAGCATGAATATTGTCACACGATCCGAAAATAATTAATCCGAAAAGCATTGACATTGGTTCGCTTATAACAGTATATAACCTTGCGTGAGGTGCCTCACGCACTAAAACTGTTTTAACTACATGTTCCCACTTCCTTTTGACCATATTTGCGTCTTGGCAAACAGCACCAAAAAAACTTCTGGAGTATGGAGTTCCTTGGACCAAGAATGAGCCATATTTCCAAGCCCAGTCACCGACTTGGTGCCAAGATGAATTGGCGCTGATTAAGCGGATGCCACGCCTTGTCTTATCTCCTGGTAAACGGGATGGACGCGCCTGGTGCTAAAACTCAACGCGCACCAAAAACTAACGATACTCAAACTTATAAGAACGTGACAACAATCACCGAATGGAGATGAGTAGGTGGACGCCGGGCCCAAGAGGCTTTGTGTCTTGCTTCACATTGATATACACACGCAGCAGAGCCATGAATGCATTTTGTCTTTCATTCATGCAGTTCAATCTAAGTTCCCAATCTTAAAACCGAGGCACTCACCAATACACAATTTTACGAAATAGAAATAGGATCCGATCCAGCTCTTTTTTACTTTGCCATATTTCATCCGGTTTGCAGCAAATGTAAAATGCAGTATACATGGTCGCATTTTATTTTTCTCAGGCCACGGTTGCATTCTTTAATCCCCCCCCCTTGCATCCAATTCATTCGCGCCGGCTGGGTTTCTTATCCAACATTTCCCTAGTCCATGTTGTTGGGAGGTTTCCGAACCTATCCCAGCACACCAAAACATGGATAGTTAGGTATGACTGGTATGAACATATGAACACATTTGCCAAGTTTACATGAACTTTTCCAAATCGGAAACAGAACTTAAGCACAAGTGGTAAGCAGTTGCAATTTATTCTAGCGATTTCCCTGAAAACTATCCAAAAATGCGTTGCCAGCCAAAAGTGCCCCGGTTAGCCCCAATACCCGCTCCCGCCTATCGTCCATCCGCCGTCCGACCTCAGACTGCGACTCGGCCCAGCGGGCGGGGCTGTTCCCCGCGCCCCCAACCCAGGGCCTGGCTGCGACGGCATGCGGAAAGTGCTCCGTCGCAGGCCCCGCAAGGTGCTCCGCCGGGATACTTACCCTGTTTGAATCCTTCGACTGACATGTCAATTTTGTCGGATGATTTGCCTCTGGCGTGAATCCAAAAGACGAGTCGCTTGTTTTGGTAAACGTCATGCGTGCCTTCAGCAAAGCAAACGTTTGAGTCTGGACAAGTGTATTGTACAGCAACATTTTGATGAACAAGCTCGCTTGCTGAAAATACAAACAGCTGGCACATATTAAGCATAATAAATTACATTTCAAAAACACCATATCGGAACACGGTTGACCACCAATGCAATGACAGGCAACACCAACAAACCGCACGGGACTCCCACAAACGTACGCGACGGGATAGCCGCCTTCAACGCAAAAGTTCGACAAGCATTGCCAGCTTGCCGATGATTACAGGGTATGCTAAATGCTAGTTGTTACCTAAGTAGGCACACAATGGAAGATCGTGTCACTCTCACATGTTGTCTTGAACTTTCCGCGATGCAGACGAACGACGTTGGCGAGCTTTGTTGCCACATGCACTTGTTAACATGAATAACTCCGTTCCGGAGTGAGTGCAGTTTTGGATGCAAAACTATTGTCACTGCACACGCGCGGGATGTCACAACATCCACAACTTGCTCGTCGTTTTCCAACAAGCCTCACAATATTGCTAGTTACACAGTTTGGCACAGACGAATTCGGGCTCTCCGTATGTACATACAGTTGTCACTTCCAGCATTTTATAGTCTACATGTACAGCACAACTTCGCGTCACATTAAGCCGATGAGGGGCTGCACCTCTGCCTTATTTTGATTCCAGTCTCGCTATCTCCCCGACCCCGCCAGTCTCCTGTTGGTGGCGTTCGTTCAGGTACGCAGCCGGATACACTATCACAAACAGGCGGCCAGAGCTGGGCACGCCGGAGACCGCGCTGACACCAGCCGCCGCCTGCTGAGACGGCGCCGCCGGCGCGTGGGGCCCGGCCCGCGCCTCCGTCTGTCGGCCGCGGCACCCCACACGAGATCCCAACACCGGCGAGCCGCGCCCCCCGCCGGGGCGGCACGCGCAGGGCTCGACTGTGCCCCGCGCCCCTTGTCGGGGCGGCACGCGCAGGGCTCGACTGTGCCCCGCGCCTCCTCGCCACAGGAGCGCTCCGTCAACGCCGCAGCTCGTTGACGACACGAGCCAGTATCACAATGCTCACCGACGCCCGCGCAAGGCCGCTGCAGCGCCGATGCGGCGCGTCGGCAGTGACGGGCCAGCGGCGGACGGGCCACCGCCGCGTCAGTCAGGCGCGTCAGTCGCCCACTTCGATGAGGGTGATGTCGTAGGCGCCCTGCTGCTCGGCCTGTCGGATCTCCAGCAGGAACGTGTCCTCGTTGCAGTAGTGCTCGATCATCTCGTCGTCCATCGTTGCCACGACCCTGCGACAGGCACGCGTAGGGTCAGGTGACGCCACGGGAGGTCGGGTCAGGCGCGACACCCGGTGCGGTAGAAACGTGAAGACGTCATACAGCGCTGACGTCATCGAGTGGCACTGCTGTCACGTGACCCGCAACGCAGAGGTCGTGCATTGGGTGACCTGCTGTGTCACGATGTGACGTGGTGAGGTCGCTCGCTGCAGTGAGTGCCGTCACGCGGCCGTAGTGCCGTGACGCTGACGTCAGGGCACGTGATCGCCGTGGGGTGACGCCCCGCTGCGACTGACGGCACGCGACGTCGTCCGCCACGAGTGGGACACAGCAGAGCGCACGTCCGACGTGTGGGCGTCGAGCCGCGCTGGCCGCTTCAGCCCACGCCCAGTGAGGAGTGCCAGGCCGCGTTGGCCGCGTCAGCTCACGCCCAGTGAGGAGTGCCAGACCGCGCTGGCCGCGTCAGCCCACGCCCAGTGAGGAGTGCCAGGAGTGCGATGGCCGCGTCAGCCGAGCCCAGTGAGGAGTGCCAGGCCGCGTCGGACCGCGTTAGCTCACGCCCAGTGAGGAGTGCCAGGCCGCGCTGGCCGCGTCAGCCCAGCCCAGTGAGGAAGGCTAGGCCGCGCTGGCTGTGTCAGCCCAGCCCAGTGAAGAGTGCCAGGGGTGCGATGGCCGCGTCAGCCCAGCCCAGTGAGGAGTGCCAGGGGTGCGATGGCGCGGCACTGTCGCCCGGCGGGCGGCCGACTGTAGGTTGCCAACACCAGGTCAGGCAGCTTGGGTCAAAGAACAGCTACTGCTGGTTGGCGGGAGGCTCACAGGGTAGCACGACCCAGTCAACGGCAATGTGTGCAGAACTGGGGTGCAGGCCATACCACAACGTGTGCTGCCATTTGTATTTGGTTTGGAAATCAGTAAGCTTAGGGTCGACGTTGCTAAGTTGCATGTTTGTCCTACAATTCACAGTTGTTTTATTTGTATACGTGCTGCAAACCTCTTGCTGCAGTAAAAAATAACAACAAAAAACTTGCCTGTAGTTTGTGTGGAAAAGAAACAGCTGCGTAGTTTCAACTGGGGCCACTAACTTCTAAAATGTCCCTTTCACGCATTGGCTACGCACGCATGCGTATACACAATGTATGCGATGTTCACGCTAGCACAGAGGCAGGAATATATATAGCATACAACTTGTGCAGTTTGGTAATGCTTTTCACTAAATGACGATCGATTAGCATCTTTACTGTCAGTGTCGGAGGCACCAAATGTTACCACAAAGGAACATTTGTCTGCATTAATGAGTCTTTTGGTCATTCACTCGCGCTATTTCACTCCGTCTCGAAAAAGCCGTGCCTATACATTTGGTCAGTGCGCAATACATACCCCTTTTTGTTTTTCCGGCATAGAGTCTGAGCGCAGGCCGCGCTGATTTTGTACTTGCTCTCGATCTGGAATGGAGCGGACAATGAAATGAGGACTCCACGTGCTCAACTCTGCTTCTAGGGCTCTGCCACGGCGCTGGCCCAGGTAGTTCTCCCTTGACAGGCTGCTGGGACGAGAAGCCGGTGGGACGAGACACCAAATACAAGAGAGGCCGATGGGATGAGAGGCCGATGGGCCGCGAGGCCGATGAGCCGCGAGGCCGATGGGATGAGGGGCTGATGGGACGCGAGGCCGATGGGATGAGAGGCTGATGGGACGCGAGGCCGATGGGATGAGAGCCTGATGGGACGGGAGGCCGATGGGGGGAAAAGTTGATGGGACGAGAGGCCGATGGAATGAGAGGCCGACGGGTCGAGTCAGGAGAGTTGAACACGACCGGCGCCAACCTCCAACCACCGCCAGCAGCCTGCACAACGCATTCAAGCTAACCATTCAGCTATGGTTTGAAGCCAGCTGATGCACGCTCAAAACCATCCTCTTGCGTTCTTCACCGCAACTGCAGCTTAGAGTTAGCGTCGCGCATCTGACCCCATCGTGCAGCGCAGCGTCCGCTGCAGCCGGACCACACGTCCCAAAACCCGGTAGCCGACGCCAGCGCCCCCTTCCGGCAACTCACAGCGTGTAGTAGGCCGATCGTTGTAGGTGGCACCACGTGCAACGGCGTGTAGAGCTCCTCGCGCTCCTGGCGCACGTACAGCATCACACGCTGGCCGGGCGGGGGCGAGAGGCGGCGCGGCCGCTTCGCACCCGGCGAGAACAGACCCTCGTCGTCCTTCCGCTCACTACAACAGGCCACCGGGTCGGAGCGTCAGCGGGCGGAGGAGTGGGGCAACGCCAGCAGGGCAGGGGCAGCGCAAGCAGGGGGTCACCGGCACCTCGACTCGCACTGCGCCAATGTATGTGAGGGGCTGCTACACTGAGCCATTTGATACCGTTTGTCTGAGCGCGTGAAAAGCACCCAAAGTCTTTCAGCAGCCGAGACATACTGATGGCGCTGCCAAGTCGCGAGCTCGGTACAAGCGTTCTCACAGCGCAGGCCATTCGCGCGCAAGCTTGGGACAGCGGCCGCGGGCGGGCAGCGGAAGCCAAGCCTCGGGCAGCGAAGCCGAAGGGGCGAAGCACTCACCACTCGGGCGGGGCGTCGGGGATCGTAGGGAAGCTGTAGTGAAACTTGAGGGAGGCGGGGACGGCGGGGGGCGGGGGCGGCGCGGCCGCGGGCGAGCCGCCCCTCTCTGCGCACCTGGTGAGCCGGCACGGCGGGGGGTTAGTCACGGCGGCGGTCAAGCCAGCGGCGGCCGCGGCGGCGGCGTGCAGAGCGGGGAGAGCACGGGGCCTGGGGCTCACACTGGGACTGGCCGAGAGGCTGGCGTCAAAGCCACACGCACGTTGATCAAGATTACTTGCTTCCATCGCCCTTGAGTGACAACTGAGAGGCACCAGTACCGCCCAGAGGAGCGGACAAAACGGAGTTATATCACAATGTCGTTATTGGTTCCGAACTGGATTTTGGCTGCGATAAAATAGATGGTGTACATGGAGAGATAGTGGGTCATGTCAGTGAGAAGAGAGAAAAAATATTCGCAAAACTGTGGGCTAAGCTATTGCTTCATGAATGAATGGAAAAACTTTCTAGCTCTTCTGCGTCATGCTTGTGGCAAGTTGCATATACGCTTATATATATATATATATATATATATATATATATATATATATATATATATATACATGCATATGCTATAAGGTGAGACGAAATAGAAATAAGAAAGGAAAAGAGGACAGCTGGTAGAAGAATGTTAAGTTGGTAAAGAGAAATGCAAATGGCGGCAAGCAAACACTCACAAACTGTTTTCGCTGTCCTGCTGTGTGTAGTAGTTCTGCAGCTCCATGTTTCCAATCTGAAGACAATCATACGATTTGCTTTTTTGGGTATCATTCAGCATCGTCACAAAACAACACATGCACCTTCGTCGTGTTTATGCAGCACTGACTTCCTCCTTTATTTCATCTATTTTCCGTCATTTCCATCAAATTTTCCAACAACTGGACACCATGCTTTTCCGAATATCTCTCCGCCGTTCCAGCGGCCAAGGAAGACGGTGGCGCCCCCTGGTGAGCACGGCACCGAGCGCCACGGGGTGTGGCGTCGCTGCAGCCGTCCTCACCTTGTCCGGCTCGTCGCTGGGCTGGAATAGCGTCGCTGGCCGCACCGTGTCGGCCATGGCGTAAAACTCAGAGCGCTCGCAAGTGCCGTGGTACATCTCTTCCATCTTCTTGCGGCCGGTCGCTGTCATCTTGCGCTTGGAGGCACGGCGCTCCTCATCGCGTGTCTTCCGCTCCGCACCCTGTGGTCAGGTCAGGTCAGGTCAGGTCAGGACAGGCGAGGGTTTTGGGGCACGCCGCCCCTCATTGCACGTCTTCCGCTCCATGCCCTGCGGTCACGCCAGGTCAGGTTAGGTCAGGTCAGGTCAGGTCAGATTGTATCAAGAAGAGGGGAAGACTGGACGGGGCGGCGCAATAAGATAAGGACAGGTTGGGGCTGGTCGTTGTGAGGTCAGCTTATTGCAGGAAAGTGCGGGAAGGATATCTTTCGCATCGCCCAAACCTGGTCAGTCTTGTACAGTATGGGTAAGGACAGGGCAAAAGGGAGCAGGACGAGACGGGTCAGCTAGCAGGTGAATTCTTGTCAATTAAGGGCAGGAAAGGAAAGAACAGGGCGAGGTACGGCAGGGAAGGGCAGGGCAGGGGATGGTACGTAAGGGTAACGCAAGGCAGAGCGGTGCACTTAAATGGGAATGACAAACTAAGGTGGGTCACGACTATCAGGCCAGGTCAGGTCAGGCAAGGACGGCAAGTGAGGCGTCGGGACAGAATAGGCTATAGAAAGCCCTGTCGTACGGGCAAATAGGGTCAAGTCATCGTGGCTGAGGGTTACAATTGTTTTTATGCGTACCCAAGAGGATTTCGGACGGGACGCCCGCCGAAGGGAAATGCACTTTGTTGAGCCACCAGGACAGAGAGTTCCAGCGTAATTGGACGCCCCGTAGATGGCGGTGGCATCTGCATATCAAAGAGAGCGCGGCCCGGCGGGCTGTCGGATATTTGTCACGTGCCACAAACCTCAAAACCGGCGTGATTGCCCTGAATGAAGCCTCTGGGAGCGTTTCACGGATCCGAGGCCACAAGCTAAGCACTCGCCTCCGCCGACGGGTCCGTTTGATTGGCACAAGTCGCAGATACACGGGCATGTCTGGTCCCATGACGCAGACGTGACCTTATGTAGGTGGTCCTCATGCCGGGCAGAGTCGGAACCAGGTCGGGAGACCCTCGGAGCCAAGGTCGGCATGGGCAGTCCCTCCCCCCCCCGCCGGCGGCATCGGCACAAGTCAGAATGGTGCTCCTCTATGTTGAGCTGCTACAGTATTTCCAATGCCGTTACAGCTGTGCCTTATTTCTGATAGTTGATTTATAGTTTATCGCTGCGTTCTGCGAGATGAATGACTTCTCCCTTCAGAGGTCGTCGATGCATGCATAATACTCGCTTTGTAAGCGATTATGACCGTGTAAGACAGTCAATTACCATACACAGATGTGCTCATACTTGGTTGCCTTTTGCTGCTCTGAATCTTGCACCACGCGAGCACATAGTTACTGGCCATCCAGTCAAGAACCACAGGCGAGCCTTACTAGTTGTTACCATAGCGGGCCTTCCGTGAGAACTACTTGATCAATCTGCTAATCAGCTCTTTGCACAATGAAGTAGCAAAAGCTCTCCGCACAAATGTATGTGACCTTTGCACATTACTGTACCAAACATTTAGCAGTCCATGCTATTTAGAAATTCCGAGTTAAATGAATTACAAAATGATCAAATACTATGATCAAATCTGCTAATCAGCTCTTTGCACAATGAAGTAGCAAAAGCTCTCCGCACAAATGTATGTGACCTTTGCACATTACTGTACCAAACATTTAGCAGTCCATGCTATTTAGAAATTCCGAGTTAAATGAATTACAAAATGATCAAATACAAGCACACTTGGATTTGCTAAACCATGTTTATTAGTCACTGACATCTGGAAATACACTTCCTGGTGTTCAAGTTGTGGTGAATGATTGCACGGGGCAGCATGAAGTCCAGCCTGAGGTGCCATTCAAGTATCTGCTCACGGAAGAACTCCGTACCTTGTCGCAGAAGGACTTGACCTGGCAGTAGGCGCGGTGCGAGACCGGGGCGTTCGGGTCCCTGTAGTCTTCGTACGTGTCGATCTGCACGTGCAGTGGCAGACCCTGCAACATTGCGTCAGCGTTGTTTGGATGACGGTGGGCAGCAAGCGTCTAGGCCAGACAGAGAACTCCAACACAGCTTCAGCGGCAAACATTATGGACCGTGCCAAGTGAAAGTGCATCGCTCAAAGCCATTACCAAGACATCAAACTGCGCGAGCGGTACAATCCACGGCCCAGTTTGAGCGTGCCGTGACCACAGGCGACGAGCAGTTCTTCCGCACTATTCCAGACAAGCCCACTCAAGGTCTACACAGCAGGACAGCTCATCTGACTCATGACTCTACAGATGACACCATGACTCTACATGACTCTACAGATGAAGGTGAGCCTCAGGGTTTCTCACCTTGACTCCCTTTTGGCTACTGAAGTCAGTACTAAAGCACTGCAAGGCGATGCTTATCTGCAAGCAAGATGTGATATCAAAACGGTTTCCGACTGCCTCTCACCTTGACGCCCTTTTGGCTACTGAAGTCTGTACTCAAGCACTGAACAGCGATGTTGATCTGCAATCATTGCAGTCACCTTGTCAGAATGGCTACTGACCATCGAAGGCAAGGTCAAAGAAATTGCTCAAGTGATTACGATTTAATGGCTGGCCAAACCGAGTTCGGCGGCAATCACAGCGTTCAGAAGCAGTCTGCAGTCTGCACTCGCGCTGTACATCTAGAGCACCAGCACAGCGAAATGAGGCAATCTACAGGAATGGGGTGAAGAGCACGGCGTGAGGGGCGGTGTTGGTGGGACTAGGTTGGTCTACCGTCCAGCTACCACCTCGAGCGCCTGACCGCGGCCCCACACCCTGTAGTTGGGATTTAAAGGGTAACGACTTGTACGTGAGGCAAGTCACGCATGTGTTGAGGTGCACTGCCTGAGAGGGCCCGGCAGCGCGGCTCACTAACGCGCCGCACCGCCGAGGTGGCAGACGGTGCACAGCTGTGCGTCCAGCCCGACCACGGTCGAGCGGCGCGTCGACTCACCTTAGCAGAGCTCTCCAGCGGGTTCCAGTACACGGCAATGGCGTTGTGCGCCATCTCGTCAATGCCACCGAACAGGCCTATGCTGTTCTTCGTGTCTGAAACGCAGCCATGTTCTCGCTGACAAAACCGGCCAAAACCGGCACTGGTCCTCGAACGCAGCGCACACCTCAGCGAGCACAACAGGCGCCTGCAATACACAAACGGGAGCATAAAAAGACCCGCCGTTGCCCAAAACCCTCCACCGCGGAGTGGAGGCTGCACTTCGACGACCGCTCGCTGAACGGTCCGGTGCCGCCGTCCGCGCGGGGCGAGTCACCAACGGTCCGGTACGGCGGCCCGCGCGGGGCGAGTCACCGGCCGTCCGGTACGGCGGCCCGCGCGGGGCCGCCGTTCGCGCGGGGCGAGTCACCGGCCGTCCGGTGCCGCAGCCCGCGCGGGGCGAGCCGCCGGCCGTCCGGTGCCGCGGCCCGCGCGGGGCCGCCGTTTGCGCGGGGCGAGTCACCGGCCGTCCGGTGCCGCAGCCCACGCGGGGCGAGCCGCCGGCCGTCCGGTGCCGCAGCCCGCGCGGGGGAGTCGCCGACCGTCCGGTGCCGCCGTCCGCGCGGGGTGAGCCACCGGCTGCCCAAGCCGCTGTCCGCCAGCCTGTCCGCCCTCATCTCCGACTCCGCGGCGGCCGCTTCATTACGCACGGCGTCACACACCAACTACGAGAGCCCCCGGATATTCCGACAATTAACTTTTTCGCTGTTTTGACGGCGCGCGGCGGCACGGCCGAGCCGGTTTTGCGCGGCGCGCCGCTCGGACGGCGCGTGGCGTGCCGGCGCGAGTAAACAGGCGGGCGGCCTCACCGACGTCGAGGATGCGCTGCTTGACACTGTGCTGCCGGCTGTGCCAGAACTGCCACGCCTTCAGCTCCTCCTCTGGCGTCTTCTCCTCCCGGAACACCAGTAGCACCACACTCTGTCGAGAGAGCAGACGGGTGAAGTTAGCGGGTGTCCGTGAGCGACCCAGACCGTGCTCTGAGCTGGACGTGTTTCCGGAACAGTGAAGTTCTGATGCACATTGCGAAGCTCAATATCTATTGCAATCTTCAAACGCACTTTGCAGTTGCGCCATTTTTGCGGGCCTTTTAATTGGATAGCATTTCTAGGATCTCTAAGCAGCGCTTGTTACGTGCGCCCGTGCCTCTCCATCCCATTACGAAATTCCAGATGAACGGCAGAAGTTTGTCGCGAAAGTTTTAGTGCCCTCATGCTCAGCACAGCCTGTCCTGCCCTCTGCCTGTCATCTGACCTTACGTGCGGCCGCTGTCACTGGTCTTCCCAGTCGGGGTAAACAGCAGGCGCCCAACACGACGTGGAACCACCTCACCACGGGTGGGTGAAGCGAAACGCAGGCCCTCGAGCCTGCCGAACTATCAGGGAGGGCGGAGAACAGTTGAAACTTTAATTCAAAAGAAATCCTGGAATACGCATACCGTGGCGTTTATTGATACGCTTGAACCGGTGCTTGAGGTCGACGTACGTATTCAGCCCGCAAGGAAATCGCGACGTGTTTTCAGACTTTGGTCTTCTTCGCGTGGAAACAGTGACTAAATGATAAAGAGTGAAGAAAAGTGGTGCACAGGGCTATACGGCGATTCGTTCTTCTGTGGGTCTCCTGAAGGAGACATTGCATACGAATGAGGAGCCGGAGTCCCACCCTCCTCTGCGCCATGCGGGTCTCATACTGAGGGTCTCCTTCAGGAGACCCGCAGTATTCGCGGCCGCTCAGTAACAGTGGGACAAATCGCGGAGTATTTAAATCCTGAGCCAGTTCGCTCGCCGAGGTCAGGGCCATGGATGTATAATGAACTCCCGGGAGAATGAAGTGGTGCTGTGATGCGAGAGGCAGTGACACGCCCGCCAAGTGCCTGTCAATCGGGTAAGACCCCAGGCGGGTGCCGTTTGGAACACCGCTGGCAGCATCGGTCAGATTTACATCGGAGAACTTCGTTACCGTTTACATGAGCACCTCATCTGAATTTTCGCGTAGTGTTTGCGTCCCGCTGTATTTCTACCTTCACCCCCAATTCACGGGAAGAAGTTGGACTCCATAAATCGACATCGGCGGGTGCTGCAGTTCGCTGCAATTTAGTTCGGATCAGTTCGGTGCATGGTCAGAGCAGGGCGGGTATGCGGCTTCTCATTAGTACTCAGGGGCCCCCTGAGCGGTGCGGTGGCGTTCACAGCCTCAGACGACTCAGCGTCCCGCGGGTAGAGTGTCCAGCGGCAGGGACCCGCGGCAGAGCGTGCCGAGTGGCAGAGCGTCCAGCGGCACGGACCCGCGGCAGAGCGTCCAGCGGCAGGAACCCGCGGGCAAGGCGTCCAGTGGCAGGGACCCGCGGGTAGAGTGTCTAGCGGCAGGGACCCGCGGCAGAGCGTCCAGCGGCAGGAACCCGCGGCAGAGCGTGCCGAGCGGCAGAGCGTCCAGCGGCACGGACCCGCGGCAGAGCGTCCAGCAGCAGGGACCCGCGGCAGAGCGTGCCGAGCGGCAGAGCGTCCAGCGGCAAGGACCCGCGGCAGAGCGTCCAGCGGCAGGGACCCGCGGCAGAGCGTGCCGAGCGGCAGAGCGTCCAACGGCAGGGACCAGCGGCAGAACGTCCAGTGGCAGGGGCCCGCGGGCAGGGCGTCCAGCGGCAGGGACCCGCGGCAGGGCGTCCAGCGGCAAGGACCCGCGGCAAAGCATCCAGCGGCAGGCAGCCGGAGCTGCCGCCGAGCTGCGGCGGCGACCGTGACGGAGCAGTGAGCCCGAGCTGCGGCGGTGACCGCCTCACGCGACAGTGAGCCCGAGCTACGACAGTGACCGCCGGACGCGACAGTGAGCCCGAGCTGCGACAGTGACTGCCAGACGGACCGCTGGACCGATGCGGCGTTGACATGCCGTGTCGTGACGTCAACAGATTCCCCGGGCTCATCGTGACCTCGACTACCGCCGCTCACTCGCTCTCTCTCGACGCTCACTGGCTCTCTCTCGCGGGAGCATCTGCATTCGCTTTTGGCCGCCCGCGACTCAGTCGCTTCGCAACCACATCGTGTCCGCCCACCAGCCGCTCTGGTACCGGCGTCCGCCCACCGCTGCTCTGGTACCGGCGTCCGTCAACCACCGATGGTCCGGTACTGGTGTCCGTCAACCACCGCTGGTCTGGTACCGGCGTCCGCCCACCACTGCTCTGGTGCCGGCGTCCGTCAACCACCGCTGGTCTGGTACCGGTGTCCGCCCATCACTGATCTGGTACCCGTGTCCGCCCACCGCTGCTCTGGTACCGGTGTCCGCCCACCGCCGCTCTGGTACCGGTGTCCGCCAACCGCTATTCTGGTGCCGGCGTCCGCCCACCGCTGCTCTGGTACTGGCGTCCGTCAACCACCGATGGTCCGGTACTGGTGTCCGTCAACCACCGCTGGTCTGGTACCGGCGTCCGTCAACCACCGCTGGGCTGGTGCCGGTGTCCGCCCACCACTGCTCTGGTGCCGGCGTCCGTCAACCACCGCTGGTCTGGTACCGGTGTCCGCCCATCACTGATCTGGTACCCGTGTCCGCCCACCGCTGCTCTGGTACCGGTGTCCGCCCACCGCGCTCTGGTACCGGTGTCCGCCAACCGCTATTCTGGTACCCGTGTCCGCCCACCGCCGCTCTGGTACCGGTGTCCGCCAACCGCTATTCTGGTACCCGTGTCCGCCCACCGCCGCTCTGGTACCCGTGTCCGCCCACCGCTGCTCTGGTACCGGTGTACACCCACCGCTGCTCTGGTACCGGTGTCCGCCCACCGCTGCTCTGGTACCGGTGTCCGCCCACCGCTGCTCTGGTAGCGATGTCCGCCCACCGCTGCTCTGGTAGCGGTGTACACCCACCGCTGCTCTGGTACCGGTGTCCGCCCACCGCTATTCTGGTACCGGTGTCCGCCCACCGCTGCTCTGGTAGCGGTGTACACCCACCGCCGCTAGCCAAAAGAGCTCCGTCGCTACAGCCGACACCGCCGCCTCCGGCACGCCCACTGTCAGATACAGGGCGTTGCGACGAGGCCACGCGCCGCGTTCGTGCGCCTTTTTGCAGTCCACTCGCAATGCGATCGCTCACGTCTGAGTGTCGGATAACGCCGAAGACGGCGTCACGACGGGGCGCGGTATGACGTGATGAGTGATTCTGTGGAATACCAAGGAACAGAGAATCCGGCAGTAAAGGCCACATCACTGTCTTGGGTTTCTCCTAGCCCGATAAGTGACTGGCAGCTTGCTTTCGTGCACACGCGGTGCGTTTTTCTAACTAATGACCGCAATATTACCAATTCAACGGACTCAATGACTCCTTTTACGTCCTGCATGTGGGATATTATAACTTGTGCGCCGGTGGGATAACCACACTGCCTTCAGGTGGTAAGCTGCTCTTCCCGGCCATCTGTTAACTCCATCCCGTCATCGGACGCCCGGTCAGGTTTCCCGGCGCGTCCGCCGCAAGCGCTCACACCTGTGAAGGACATCACGCAGCCGCCATCAGCAGGCGGAGCCAACCCCCGCTGTGGCGGCGCCTACCTTGACCGTGGCGTTCTTGAGCGGCTTGTCCGGGTCGGGCACGTACTCCATGGTGACGCCGTAAAACTGGCCCTTGTTGACATACGTCAGGCGGTCGTCCTCCCGCCGCTGGCTCGTCGAGATCGGCGTCTCCAGGAAGAAGCGGAAGCCGTGGCTGGAGAAGCTGGAGCGACAGTTGGCGTGGTCAGGCGGCGCTCGCTGCGTGACGCGGTGTGGGGGAGATGCGGTCATGTCACGGACACCGCGGGACCTGCTTACGACGGCGACGACCCGGGCCGCGCCTGCTATGGGAGCAGGGGCGAGCTTACGGCGCAGGACGCCACAGCTGCCCATGGATACATCACGAGAAAGGTTAGGATGGCTAAAGTATCTGCACGTTGCAACTAACTTGACTCAATCTCAAGAGCTTCAACAGTGGGATTTACAACCTGATGTCAATAGATTCAGAAAGATATTAGATGAACTTCACGCACATCGTCAAACGTTTTCATTTAAACAAAACAAAACAAAAACGATTAGACCCCACACGAAAAGGACGTCGATGAAAAATTAATCCTTCAGCTTTCACATGTAGAGTCATTTGATCACAGCTGGAAATATGAAAAATGGTCAGATATTTAATCCCGAAGACAACCGTGCAGAATGCACAATTGGCTACTTACTTCATTCGAGGCAGTGAACAACGGCCACGAACAGCACAATAGGAGGTTTTAGGCTCTGGAGACATTAACGGTCAAGACGTCCTTTACCCCGCCCACCCGCTACCCACGAGGCTGCGCCCATGCCCACTCACCCACGCACACACCCATGCCTAGTCCGTTGTCTCATCCCTTTGCATTTCTCCAGCACTTTAGTCCTAAACTATACAAGTGCATCAGGGAAGTTTGTAACCACACTTATTTGGCGTAGCCTTAACAGTTGTAAAAAAGTGTGAGTAGAGGAAGATTATAAAACTACAACAGTAACATTGTGTAGTATTGTTTGAAGTATCTACCGGACATTTTGTAAATGTTTGCCCATAACCCATGTTCATAAATTACGGACGGTGTCCCGCAACGATGCCCGTAACTTCCATATGATCTGTACCCAGTCCATCCTGCTGCCCTGGGTACTAATGAGTCTGCTCATCCCGTGAAATCCTCTATTTTACGGGACGATTGATGAGGAAGAGGATATGTGATAGGACCTTACACGCCAATGGGATGCTTCTAAGCGGTGAAGGAGTCATGTGTCACCAAAAAGGAAAGGACTTGCGTCCAGTGACATATGCATAGGAGGGAGTGCCAGACGTATGGGACTGCATGGCTATTTTGCAACGGTGCACGTCCCGCCGCCCCTGGGATGTTTACGACGCTTCATCGCCCAGCCCGGGTGAAATGTCTCCATGCTGTGATTGGTCGGAGCATTAATATCGGGCTTAGAGTGCAGCAGACGGGGTGCGGCGCAGGTGACAGACATAGGGCAACATAACGGGCATGCCGCGTTAACGTTCGAGCAGGTGACAGACATAGGACATCATAACGGACATGCTGCGTTAACGTTCGAGCAGGTGACAGACATAGGGCACCATAACGGGCGTGCCGCGTTAACGTTCGAGCAGGTGACAGATATAGGGCACCATGACGGACATGCCTCGTTAACGTTCGAGCAGGTGCTGTCACTGGGGTTCTAACGTGGTGTGGCGCCATTACATTCGGGGCGACTACCGGTGCTAATAACCTTGACCTTTACAAAGTGCTGGGGTCAAGGGAGAATTGAAGCATAGCTGACAGACTCAGCTACAAGGGGTAAGATGAAATTGCATTGGATGTTTAAGTGCACGTAATATTATTGTTCATAGACGAAGGAATGAGAGGGAGGCAGTGAATGGCATGGCATCGCACTTGCCACAGCGGATGCATGAACACAATTCACTTCAAAATGCGACTGGTTCTCACCAATTTCACGGGTCGCTCATGCACTCCGCCCGTTGGTAAGAACAAGCGCAAAAACACATAGAATTGCAACCGCGTAGCAGTGTGCTGCTGATAGGCGTCAAGCTGCGATACAGGTGCAGGGAGGGCAGGCTATATGGCTCGGTTAACCTTCAAAAACGGAACCTCTGCCTCATACGCTAGTAAAGAATCAGACGCCGTTGGAGCCCGAAATGCATCCGAGCTTTGCAGCCGGCACTACAGCGGCTTTGGACTGAGCTCGCATGTCGCATAGGCGGAGTCAGCGACGCACCGAAGGTCGGCTCGCAGCATACCGATGGCGCCAAACGCAGACTCTCCCCGTGTCTAGTCCAGCACATAATACCTCCTCCACGTAAATTCCTGGGCTCGCCCCTGTCCCGGCACCTTGCAGAGAGCCCCGGTACTGTTGCACGAGCCAGCGGCCCCTGAATGGCCTGCGTGGGCGGGCGAACGTCGGCGGTTGGCCGGCGACCTTTTGTGCCGGCATGAGGTGGCACATCTCGCTGCCGCACATGTGACTGTACTGCACTGCACCTCTAACCGAGGCTAGATAGAGTCCACTGACACTCACGATATTGCACTGCATCTTCGACGGAGGCGAGGCCGATCCCACCGATGCAAAGCGATATTGCACTGCACTTCAGGCGGAGGTGAGCCAGAGGCCACTGACCCTCACGGCGCGATACTGTGCCGCACCTCTGACGTGGGCCAGCCCCAAAGATTTAACGGAATTGCAGTGCACCGCACCTCAACTGAAGGTGAGCCAGATCCTCGACGTTTACCGGAATGTGCTGCACTGCCCCTCTGGAGGGACGATTTTGTGTGTCCGCAGTGGTTCCAGAAATTCTGCACTTTTGACGGGGGCCAATATCCCTGACAAATCTCCGTGAATCTCTTACGGGACTATGCTGCACACCACCTCACGGACGGGGTGTGGCAGATGTCACTCAAGTTTAAGGAATGATACGCGCCTCACTGCATCTCTGACGCGGCGTGGCAAACTCCGATCAAATTCAAGGGACTGTATGTACTGCACTTGATCTCCGACGAGGGGTGGCAGGTCCCACTGACGCGTGACAATGGATTTCATGTTCGCTCTTCCATGTTCAAAATTGTTCAGTAAGCCACTGCAGCTCTATCACAGACGTGGCAAGTCTCACTGACTCACAAGGAGTATATCACAATACGAGGAAATGGAAGCGTGGTGGATGCTCAGTGTTAACGAGGCTGCGTCTTACCACCTCTAACCATAGTACAGAGTACCGCAGAACCCCCTTCCGCACGCTGACATAGCCGTAAGGAAGACTACATCTTACCACCTCCAACCATAGCACAGAGTACCGCAGATCCCCACTCCGTAAGCTGACATGGCCGTGAAGAGTACTTACAGGAGTACTTACACAGTACACAACAGGCGATTGCCGCACAAGTTCATCAACCGCGACGCGGCGCTGAGAGCGACATCTGCATTGACAAAGTTAGGCGGACGGACGTTCACCCTGCCTCCTCCCATCTCACCACGCGCGACATCCTAGGGATGTACTCACATTTTGGGGATGTGTATTTTGTCGACATCAGCCTGTCGGCCAAAGTCGTGCCAGGGTCGTGACCTGGGAGGGGCTGGCGAGGAGGCGGGTGGCTGGCGGAGGAGGCCGGCGTCCGAGCCGACCAGGGTCGGCTGACCGCACAGATCGGCGTACTCGAACCCCGCCGTGCTCTGCAACACAGGAGCCCCCCAGTCATGAGCCGCCCTAGGACGAGGCATCTAACGTCATGCTGCTGGGCCGAAGTTGGAACACGGAGGCGACAGTGGACGGTGGAGATAGGCCGAAGTCCGATGCTGACCTGCATGGGAGAACATACCCGACACTGAGCAGCACAGGGATGGAGATACCTGGCACTGAACAACACAGGCATGCATACATGCGATTCAGAATAACAGAGGAGCAGCACAACTCGACACTGAACCGCGCGGCGACAGTAACAAGTAACACTGAACAACGTGGAGATGCAGACACTCAACTCAGAACATCCGACACTTCACTAGACAATACGGGAGCGCAGACGGCTGATGCTGAGCCAGACAAAAATAGAGGTGGTTGACGATGAACAACTTGTTAACAGACGCAAGCACTGAGGCACACGACGAGAGCAATGTGAAAACATCGGAATAAACGACGCACACCGGAATAAAAGCACTCCAACCTAGGCTCAAATGGAGCATGGGCAAGCCAGGTATACACTGAAACCACTCTGATGCGCAGACACAGCTGGATGTTAGCAAGAAAACCCTTGAGCTCTGCGGTTTTTAAGCATTATGAAATGTTGTACCGAAAAAACCAACCTGCACTATCCTAGTTGCAGGTTGAGCAAAGACAGTAATCAAGCCGTGAGATATGTTATGAAATCGCTCGACGTTTCCAGCAACACTCACGGTCGCTCGTGAAAATGAACACTAAATTATATTTCTTCAGCAGTGTCCATGCGACAAGAAGCTACGAACGAGCTTTGCTGGAAACGTCCCAGATTTTCATAATACATTCCAATGATTGCTGTACCCTTTCGTGTAGTGAGCAACTCCTGATACACTGAAAGTCGGTTGCTCTCAGTATGAAGCTCAGCCACATCAACTGTGCTGAGGCACAGGCGTCTGACGCTAAGTCGCCTTGGAACACGAAAGGCGTGACAGGGACACACAGAATTGACGGCACAAAGCTTTTGGCATTGGCTAATGCTTAAGAAGATGGAAATACCGAACGTGGCACGCTAGAATGCAGTCAAAGCGGGAGGGGGGGGGGGGAGCGATAGCTAATCGTGTTTTAAAAATTGCATCGTCTTCCCTCCATTATCACTTGCTGTGCAATAGTAGCGTGCGTCCGTATCAGCCTGCCATTCGTCGACACCAACGCAGGCGGCAATAGTAGCGTGCGTCCGTGTCAGCCTGCCACTCATCGGCACCAACGCAGGCGGCAATAGAAGCAGCGTGCGTGTCAGCCTACCACTCATCGGCACCAACCCAGGCGGCAATAGGAGCAGCGTCCGTGTCAGCCTACCACTCATCGGCACCAACGCAGGCGGCAATAGGAGCAGCGTCCGTGTCAGCCTACCACTCATCGGCACCAACCCAGGCGGGCAATAGGAGCAGCGTCCGTGCCAGCCTACCACTCATCGGCACCAACCCAGGCGGCAATAGGAGCAGCGTCCGTGTCAGCCTACCACTCATCGGCACCAACCCAGGCGGCAATAGGAGCAGCGTCCGTGTCAGCCTACCACTCATCGGCACCAACGCAGGCGGCAATAGGAGCAGCGTCCGTGTCAGCCTACCACTCATCGGCACCAACGCAGGCGGCAATAGGAGCAGCGTCCGTGTCAGCCTGCCATCCATCGGCACCAACCCAGGCGGCAATAGGAGCAGCGTCCGTGTCAGCCTGCCATCCATCGGCACCAACCCAGGCGGCAATAGGAGCAGCGTCCGTGCCAGCCTACCACTCATCGGCACCAACCCAGGCGGCAATAGGAGCAGCGTCCGTGTCAGCCTGCCACGCATCGGCACCAACCCAGGCGGCTAGTTGTAATCAGCACACCGGGATGTTGCTCAGCCAAAGACGCGTTACATGCGCAACGTTTGAAGAAACCGGGATCAGGTTAAATCAGTGTCTCTACTCGCGCTGTGTTTGAGGCGTCGAAAACTCTTTTGAACGCAACGTACACGTAATGAAAGTAGTAGGAAATGCAAGTGCATGTTTATTACAATCTACGTTTTGACACGTGATGCGTGCACATATGGTCTAGGTGATCCTTCACAAGTTAGCTGTCCTCTGAGGAGAATAACTTTGATGTCCCAAGGGCTCAACTCCCTTATCAATAAATCTGAACCACATGATATTGTACGCATCCAACCATCAAATAGGGTCAAAGATCGCGGGCGTATATGCCCGCTGGACACGTTTGCCTGGGCCAGGGTAGGGCAGCGCACGTCATCTGGGACAATGCCAGGTCAGGGCAGAACATTGCGAGCGGGGCAACCCGAGGCAGAGCAGGGCAGAGCAGGTCTCCCGTAGGTCAGGCCAGGATCCGTCCGGCAACGACAGCTACTTTTAGGTCGGGCAGAAAAGCCGGGTCTGGGTATTTTTTTAGAACACTTATTGTTCGTTGTCAAACTTCACAGTTAATACAAACCCCAAGTGAACATAGCTAAAAGGAAAAGATGATGTCGGCCATGAAAATAAAATTAAAAGGCCAGATGTAAGAAAAATTGCTGTTAGCGTTCCAGAGAATGCGACTCTAAATGCGTGTGACAATAAGCTGCCCACATGCTTTTTAATTGTACTTCCATCTTACGTCTAAACCAATTGTAATACTTAATACTAACATTCACCTAGAATCCATCGAGCCTCATCACGTGGTGTGGAACTGAAACACCCCGGAAGTCGACCGACATAGTTTGGCACTTCGATATCGCAGTCCCGCGCCAAATGAGCTGAAAAGGCCATCGACCTAAATGTGCCGGTGCTGTTGGACATATCTTTTATTCATCTTGTGTTTCGATACGGGGTCGCTGGGCTCTGCCGGCTCGGCGCTGCCAGAGCCGGGCACATCTGAGCCGCCGCTGGCAGTCGCCGCGGGCTCATTGGCGGAACATGGCGAGCGTTCGAGCCCCATCGCAGGCTGTACTGTTTCGCGGGTAGGCGGAAACTTGACACGGCAGTGCCCGCTGGTTCACATCAAAATCGCTTCATATTTGGGAGGACGGTGGGCACATCCGTCGAGACGTAACAGCTGCGTCAGACCTCGCCCTGTCTGAACTCTGACTCTAATACCGTCCACTGCAGGCTCCCGACATGAACCCCAAATCTCTTTATTACTTGGCCTGGATTGTATTCGTGCGCATGAGGGCATCCCGTCGACCGCCAGACGCCGCGCGCCGCCCTCAGCAGCAATCGGTCAGGTCGGGTCGGAGCGATCGGTCAGGTACTGGCGCCAGTGATCCAGCGATGAGCCCCAGTGCACCCAACTGGAGGGCATCCGGCATGACAGCGTTAAATTTACAAATGACATAACATATAGTGTCAGGTTTCAGGTGTCAGGTGGTCAGACAGTCCCATGCACTGTATCGTAGGTCGCATGTCTGATGCGCACGACTGTGTTGTAGCTTGACTAAAATAGTGTCGGAGACATTCCTATCCGGTCCTGCACCATCTGTCGAGATGTGTCCTCATGCGTGGAATGGGCTTTATTGCGTCGGTTAGTTGAGCATGCGCGTTTGATGTAACAAGCTTCCAGAACATCTCGCCTCATCCCGCCCCGAACACGTTTGTCGAAGATACCCACTCGGATCTTTTACGCGCATGCCGACATATGCATAGTACAGGCAAAAACTACACCAGCTCCTCCCCAGCATGGCAGCGCTGCCTGTGTCTCGGGCCGAACAACACCCTTACCACTTCTGAATGCACCCCGCGGCTGCCGACGGGACGTGCTCCGCGGCCTTATTGGGAATCCGCGCGACCAATGCTGTTTCTCGAAATGGCGGGTACTGATACAGTCTGCATATGCGGCGAGCGCTGGCAAGGGAAGCCCTCAGCAGGCATGCAGCAGCCAGACAGCTGAAGACAACGAATGTGCATAATTTTCAGTGTCGTCTGCAGGACGCCTAGAGCGAGCGGCGACACGGTGCTAGGCACGGCTCACGTCAGGACCGAGGCACAAAGGGCCCTGGGGGCCACGGAACGGGCTTCTACACAGGGAAGGAACTCCTGAAGCTAACGGACGCGTATACTTCCGAGGATTGACGAAAGGACCTTTTGCATCACATGGGCTGCCAGATCCTTGAGCATGACGAGGTAAACATGTATTACTCCATGTTACTTTTATTCCAAAGTATCCATTAAGGTCCCTGGCTTTGATATGAAAGTTCTTGATGCATTAAATTTTAAAAGCACATATTCAGACATCATGCATCATAGCAGCACTGGCAGAGATCGCATGGACCACATAATCTGTTCGGTCACCAGGACCCCTCCGGCCAACTTCGCTCTTTGCACAGCTCCTGTCTGCGACACGGAGTGCAAACCAAGCGTGCGGTGGCGGGCGATGGGTGGCAGTTTGCATCACCGAACTCGCGACTTTCCCCTCCCCCCTGTCATGTAGGCCGCGCTGACCGCCCGTCATCTCTTTACTGGTAATGGTGCCTGTCATTGTTCGCGGTAACAGGTCGCACTGTAGCAGGCCTCCAAAGGAAATTCCTTATCTACCGGCTGATGCGTCCCAAGAAACCCGACCCTGTAACATTTCAGCGAAGGAGATGAACAATGCCCCCCCCCCCCCGACCCCTCCTCTCAGCTGTGAACAGGACCGCTCCAAACGGAACATCGCTGGTCCGGTCAGTGCGAGGCGCCATCTGCTTCGGAAGCTGTACCGGCTCCGTGAGTGACGGTCTTTAGGAGGGACGGTTTGTGTGACCCCAGGTGACGGGATTGGTGACCCCAGATGACGTCATTGAATCGCCCCTGCGTTCTGATTGACGGCAGAGGTCGATTTAAATAGCTGCCAATCAGCTGACTGTGTAGGCCGGGCGGCATGGCACTGGATTGGGAGCGACGACTCCAGCCCGGAACAGAGCGGGGCCCCCGGCTGTACGCTACTCACTGGGGCGTGGGACGGGAGGGAGAGAGAGAGAGAGAGAGAGAGAGAGAGAGAGAGAGAGAGAGAGAGAGA